TAAAGAAAAATGTATTTTATTTTTGGAGACGAAAGTTATGTAAAAATTTATCAAGATACTATTCTATTGAATGATAATGATTGTATCAATTTTAATGAAAAAAATTTCGAATTCAAGATGAAAGCCTATCGGCTGAGCCGCCATCGCTATGATATTTAAATAGATGTTAGATTTTGAAATTTTAGATATTTTAGATAAATTTTCATGAATGTTGTTGTTTAATTTCTTATTATTACGTTTTTATCATAATTTTTTTTGTCATTTCAAAATATTACGGAACTAAGAAAATTTTGAAACAAGTATCGAAAGGTATTGGCTGTCGTTACCATCGATTATTGCATCGAGTTATACTTCGAGAAGTAATGATTATTGCTAGATCTAATATGATAACGTAAAATTAGAAACATTGTAAAACAAATCTATGATGCTGGATTTTAGAAAATAAAACTGATTACTCAATGTTTATGTTGATAAAAGAGCTATGGGCTCTTACAGATCCAGGCCGAAGTTCAACGCTAAAATTTTTCGTTTTTGTCCGATTCAGATCTAAAACAATATGGACTCGTAGCTCCTTGCAATCTGTTCTTGTTTGATGTCATTAATATAAATACCACGAAAACTGTTCTATGTGATTGACAATTTTCAATGATGAATTTGATTTATCAACTTAGTATGGAAATATCTTGTTGAATAATAAAGTATTCTTTTTAATTAAGTGAAAATTGTTAGTATATTGAACATCGAACGATTAGAGACTTAACAATTACAAATAACTCTATATCGACTTCTTTCTCAGAATAACTAATAAATAACACGCTCGATTTCACAATAAAGCATATCTGCAACTTCCTAATATCGATATATTCAATATACTATATAGTTTGATAAGTTTATGAAACTGTCAAAACAAGATATAGAGGACTTCATTATGGCTTCTGATTTTCCATAAAATAAGAAAAGATTACATTAAATAATTAATTACCTCTCAATTTCTCTTTAGTGAAGAGACTACGAAATCGAGATGACCGGACAATTCGTTGCAGGACAATTCGTTGCGGACAATTCGTCGCATGGACAATTCGTCGCAATGATATAATCCAATCATAGTTTATATACTTTTTCCAACAATGAAGCACTTATTCAATTCAGTTTGAAACATATAATCTAATGACGATAAAAATTATTGAAAATATTACTCATACCGAAACTCCGATTTTTGATCTCGAACAGTACGATACTCTTCTTTTGTGGATAAAAAATTAACTTATCTGAGCTATACAAGTGAAGAAAGTTTTTCTATATCACTGAGAGTGACATTGCGTCTTTTTTTATTCGCAGTACAGCTCAAAGCTTCTGACAATGAGACAATACTTTGAAAGAACTGGCGAAGTTTAGCGTTTCCTGAAGAGGAGCAGTGTTGACATCATCAGAAAAAAACAACTTCTATTGAATTTCTGTATTTTAATCATTGCATGTGATGTGCAAATGCTGCTACTTTAACAACCATCATGTGTTACTTTATATATTTAAACTCAAACTAGTCAATTTTGATCGATGATTTATACAATTCCAGAAATAGTTTTGATGATACGTCGTAATCGAGAATTTTTTACATGCTATTGACATTAATTATGAAGTAGGGAATGAGTCCGATTTTTTTTCTTCGTATGATTCTTTTTAGTGACTCATCTCGAGATCAAAAATCGGAGTTTCGGTATGAGTAATATTTTCAACAATTTTTATCGTCATTAGATTATATATTTCAAACTTAATTGAATAAGTTCTTTATTGTTGAAAAAAATATATAAGCAATGATTGGATTATATCATTGCGACGAATTGTCCTGCAACGAATTATCCATGCGACGAATTGTTCGGAACGAATTATCCTAGCACCGCAATCGAATCTTTAAGAATTTTCTCTTTTCTTTCGCCTCACTCTGCTAATTAAATATGATAATCCTCAAAATCTTTCTGTTATCGAGAAACACTGCAAATGTTAAAATAAATTTATCTAAAGCAAACAACTCTAAAATTTTATAAAATTCTGATGTATTTATTCCGACCACACAAAAAAACTCGAACAAAGACGAATGAAAAAAAATTGACATCATAATGATTCATCATACCAATTTCAGTTAGGTCACAGACTTTTCAAAGATACAGACTTAGTAGAGAATTAAATTCTCTTCAAAATGATGTGCTTAAATATACGAATAATACTGTCCCTAAAGCTGATAAGGATCTAGTGTCCTGCGTGACCAACATTTTTGGTCACGATTACGGAAAAAACTTATATTCACGTTCACGATCACGCAAACAATCGTTCGTGAACACAATCACTACCACGAATTTCATTGTCAAGTCACGATCATGATGAATCACGAATAAAAACTGTCCTTAACCACCTTTAGAAGAGATTGCTCACTGCTTGACAGTGTTGTTTGGTGAATCCTACTTTGATCGAAAGGTGAAAATGTCGGAAAAAATATCGAAAACGAGAATCAGAAATAAAATGTATTTGTAAGACTGAGAGCGACCCATGTAAAAATTTTTACCCAAAAAAGTGACTATTAAGTACTTTCAATGGTATGTTTTAAGCAGGACAAAGTACTTATAAGTGAACCTTTTCAAGTACTTTTCATACTTTTTGACTAAAAAGTACTGTTAAGTAGTTTTGAAAGCAGGAAAAGTATGAAAAAGTACTATAGAAAGTGGAAAAATTATCAGAAAGTACTATAAAAAGTGAAAAATAGTAATAAAAGTTACTTTGTTTTACTTTATTACTATTAAAAGTGATTAAAAGTGACTTTTGGTTCACTTTTTTTTACATGGGGATGTGAGGAGATTTCATTTTTTCATACACTATTATTTTCAATATTTCTATTTTTCCATATCTCTATTATTTTGTTTTTTTATATTTTCATTTTTGGCATTATTAATTTTGATAAAATCGGGGTAAATTTGCTTTCAATGTAGTACAGTGACGAAAACCGAATCGAATTGTCGAATGATTCGATTTGCCTCAGCCGAGTACAATCTTAATGCAGGTACTGTCGAAACGAACCAAACCAAATTAAGATTTCTTTTTACCAGGTCGAGTCTAATCGATATTCTGTTATCTTTTTTGGTCTTTAGTGTGCTATACTCCATTAGACACGATCAGCATAAACATGAAAACATAGTACAGGCTGCTTCTTTTTAGTCTTCTGTAGTGTTTCTAGTTGTAAGTGTACATAGAGAAGCAAAATGTACAGCACATTTGCTGTTCTTGAAATACACACTATTGTAGACTTTCTCCAAAAAAGCAGTTTACGATGTAGACTTATCAAATGAGATTAACACTTTTCTTCTAAAATATTGAAAACTATTTTGAATTTCAAAAAATAATCTTTTAACTATATGTAGAATACGATCTATGGTGTAAAAACCTCACCAATATTTATTGAAATGACGTAAGCACTGCTTTATTTTTAATTCTGTGTAGTTTATGAAACTTCGCCTATGTACACTGACCTTAGAAAAAAGATGTGTATGTACATTTTACTCATATTAAATAAACTTTACATGTATATTTTGTGTTCGATTTCCATTAAAAATATTGGTCACGATCACGTGTGATTGTGATGGTCACGCAGGATCCAATAAGGATCTTTCTTTTCAATTGCATCTTCAAGTACTAAAGTAGCATAGACCGATTACACATTTTCTTTCCTTCCTGTACTAGAAAAAATGTGCTTGAAAAGAGAGAGTATTGACATATTTAGGGGTAGTCTTAATCGTACATTCAAGCGCATCATTTCGAAGAGAGCGTTATTCTCTACAAGCCTGTGTCTTTTAAAAAAATCGCCGACCTAACTTACCTTTCTGAAAAATCGAGATTAATGAAAGACCTATATAAGTGATTAATTATAATTAGCAAATTTATACTTGTTTTGCTTCCTTAATATTGAAAATGAAGAACACGGTTCCGTTCAGTTTTTCCTCCTATATCCAATGATATATTTTTATTTGAGTTTTCATTTTACCAAATCTGAAAAACCTAAGTTTTGTATAAACTCTGCAGGGCTTCGGATATTTTGAAGTTTTCAAGGTTCTATCAATATTTTTTGCTTCTAAAGCACATCAGTATGTAGAGAACTATTTTTTTCTATCGAATGATATATAAATCGAAATATTCTAATACAGGATAAAGGACTAGTGAAAAGAAAACTATAAGTGTCCAAATAGGTTTTACTCGCATTAGAAATCAAGAGGTTTATTAAAAAGTCTTCAAAACTTATGAAAACGTCTTTGAAAAAAAAATTGTTTTTCTGGTAGAATAAGGTAGAAACTTTGGTCTATCGAATGGTATTAAAAAGTTAGGAAAATGTTGTGCCTTTGTTGTGAAATCAGCTTTGCAAGATGGATATTACAAGATGTCCGAATTATTATTTTACTTGGTGTATAGAAAAAAACAGCTTACACTAGAAAAAACTCAGAATTTTTTTATTTTTCATAACTTCGTTCGAAATTCGTTGTAAAACAGAAATAGTAATTCTCTATGACATTTGAAATAGGATGAGTGACGCTGTTTGAATGACGTTCGACAAATTAAGTAATACTTACTTTTTTTATCTTTGATACGATTTTCAGAAGGTAAACAAGCGACCTCAGATGTCGTTTGCTCTCATTCTCCAATGATACATTGTATTCGATCAATTGAGATTGGTCGTTCTAAGACAATTAATAAAAATGCATCGCTGATGAATAGTTGCTTTTTTTAACATTAACATTATCACACTGATCATTGTCATGATTGCTATTAAAGACAAAGTAGTCAAAGGGATCAATCACATTAGAAAAGTAAATTAACGTTAAAGTTGAATTAAACAATGTGATTGGTGCATTAAGAGTTTTGTTTAATTCAACTGTAACGTTAATTCACTTTTCAGTGTGTTTGGGATCAAAGTCTACGATGAAGAATTTTTTTGTAGATATTTTGTAATACTGAAATTAATAATGTCAGATAAATGCACTATTAGTTGGTGTGATTTACCAAAATATAGTTTGACATTTGGACTTGAACAAAATCAAATTGATACATGTCCGGCATTAAATGTTGCTCTTTGTTCTTTATCGAAAATTTTGATGAACGATCATCTTCTAGTTAACTTGAGCACACATTTTATCCCATTCAAAGAATATACAGGAAGGTTTCCAGTGAGTTTTCAAAAGCAATGCTGAACGATATTTTTTTGTATTTTTTTAGAGTGTTGTGTCTCCATCAATTATGATGCAAATGAAAGATACATTTACTAATACAACAGTACCAAGAATCGTTCTTCAAGATGATACAGATATTGATGCACCTTTCTCATGTGCTGTGTACGGATGTTACAAAGGTAGAGAAAAGGAAACAGATACTGAAATAATATACCTAAATAAACAGGTACATAGTAATATCTATTATCAAGTTGACCTTTTTGTTTATTGAAAACTTTATTTAGTTAATAGATTGTTCAAAATATAGTGATCGTCAGGAAGATGTAGTAAAATACGCCTCAATTATATTATTTACCATATTGCACGAACTTGGTCATTGGTGTTTCCACCATTTTGCTTGCAATTTGGATCACGATTTAGCCACTCCCAAAGGTTCAATTCTCTTCTTTTTCTTACTGAATGTTTAAAACTTTTGTTTATATATGAACTAGGCGTATTAATGAAAGAGGCTGGGGAAGCGGTCGAATTTCTAATGTTTGGTTTTAGAATTCAACATTACGGGCCGGAGGTTCCTAAATTCATGGTAACATAGTGTAAACTAGATGATATTTAATATTAATGTGTTCTATTTAGATTGACGATGTTGTAACAAAGTTTAATGATGGTTATCGTATAATCCCTATCGAATATTTAAATTCATTATTCAAATCAAGTACATATGAAAGTATGTGTCATTGTATATATTCCTTCTTTTCCATCACATATGTATATAAGAAAAAACTTTATTATTTTATTCTTTTAATATAACGTGTTTGTAATTTTAGATGTTACAGATCATATGTCACTTACAATTTCAATGGAACAATTAATACACGCAACAATACTTCACGAAGAATTATTAAAGTTTAGTTGCAAGAGAGTTTTTGATCCAATAGATGAACCTTTTTTGGATGGAACAATAAACACAATTGGTAATGAAAAAGGAAAAAGGATATTTATGCCATGTGATAAGAAACATTAAATTTTTTTTATTGTATCACTAATTGTTTTTTTTTCTTGTCATAAAGCGTTCTTCTTTTTATGTTATTACAGAAGGTTTTTGTTGTTATACAACATTTTCTGTCATTGACAAGTTGTTTTTTTTGTTATACAACTTTTTTTTTGTTACTGACAATTAAGTTTTGTTGTTGTACGACATTTTCTTAATGCGTTGTCATTTGATGCTTGATCATATACACGTATAACAAGAAATATGTCTTATTTAAACAAGCCAAATCGAACTTGATTGTTATATTTTTATGTCAGTAAACTGTGTCGATGATAGAACTATGTAGAAATCAAACGAATCTCATTGTCGACTATGGCCAAAGTAGAGTCATATTATCTGCTGCCATTTTATCGACCACTTTACATAAGCTGTTTCTAATCTCGTAAATCTAGTGAAGCGATCATGACTATACGCATCTTCAAAGAGAGAAATTCTTGAGAAAGTTGTGTTCTTATCATAAACAAGAACCTTTAAGAAAAAGCATATCCTCTATATTTATACGCTATGTATAAGAAAAATAACTCAACAGTCACCTTTCGTCATAATAAGTTCCATATACGATACTTCTCTTTTTAACTCACATCATAATAAGCACAAACGTTTTCAATAGATCATCTCGGATCGAGATGTCTATTTCAGTGACATGCATGTTACAAACAGCTTTTGAATATTCTGGAAAGCATTGGCGTCAAAGAAACGCATGTTTCACGTTACAAAAAATTTGTCACTCAATTCTAAAATTAACTTAGATTTGAAAGAAGTTCTGGTTCATTGACAGGAAAAACCTATAAAGCGTGTAAAGTTTTTCAAATTGAAGAACATGACAGAGGTGCAGAATCTGCCGTGATTTTAAAAAATTTCTCCACACGATAGTGTCTTCCCCCAGCTATTTCCCCCAAACTCTCCTAGGAATCGAAAAATTTCCCCACACGGCCGTACGCGCACGCGGGTAGATTCTGCACCTCTGGAACATGAGCATTTAGTTTAATAATAACTTCAATAATTGCAGCAAAAAATATAAAATTATAAAATAAAGAGTAATAATTCTTTTTTATATAGATATATGTCTAATTGTTTTTTTATTTGTTCATCTGATATTTCGTCCTATTTATTCGTACATTATCAAAGAAATTTGAGCTGTTGCTGTTGTTGCTATTCTCGTTGTTGTTGATGTTGTCGTTTTCATTGTAGCTAATTTATTTATAATTGACTTTCTTTTCTTCGTTCTTAACTTGACCTTAA